TGCCTCCCGCGGCGCAGACCCACAAAGGCTTAGGTGTTTCTTGCTCCTCCGTTAGCGGCGGAGGTGCTGCAGCAGAGTCCTCCTCCTCCTCTATGTTTTTAGGAGTGTTTTCTTGCACTTTCAAAGTCTCAAAAATGCTTCTCCACCCAGGGAGCAAGCGCTGCGCTTTGGCATTCCCCGCCGTCGCGTTATTCCACAATTCCATCCCTGCATCGTCCCAAAGTTCTCGTGTGAAAATTCAGCTGCAGTTAGGTGGGTATTTTCACCTGTACCCAGCCAAGCACAACTTGTTGCAGAAGCAAAACTTGTTGCAGAAGAGCTGCCATAAGCTCATATATGTCTCTCTCGGGGGAAGACTCTCTGTTCCCCATGTTTCCCACAGCTCACCTCTCTCCTCCAGAGGGATTTAGTGCCAACTCCTGCTTCCTTTCAGCAGATCATGCAAAGTTCTGTGGGACTCGTGCCCTGCCGCTCAGCTCGGCGGTTATCACCCCATCACACCTTTGATGTGATGGACATCACATCCCGCTCAGCTCGGCGGTTATTACCCCATCACACTGTCGATGGGATGCACATCACATCGGGGTCACCAATTTGTCACGACCGAGAGACAGGAGCAGCTTGATGCAAGCAAAATGTCCTATTGTAGTCATCCACAGGTACTCAAGAGTTTTCTCGGCTTGGCTTGGCATGTTCTCTGCCCTTTGGTTTATTCTATACATCAGGTGTGCACTAATCTGTTAACCTAAGGCACAACAACCAGTTCCATGTCTTCTGCCCCAGCAACATCCTAACTCGTGCCTGGTGAGCCAGCACATAGGCACTTTGACCTTCCCATCTCCACACCTACTCCTCCCACGGCTTTCGGCCCACAAGTCCCAACACATCCCCTGACCAGCCGAGACATGCTGGAGCCTTGCTGAGAGTAGCCAGGCCAATCCCCACACCTGCAACTCAAACCAGGCTGCAGCAGAGGCAGAGTGTGCAGCCTTCAAATCCTCCTCCTTCATTCCACTGCCTGGAAAAACACTTGGTTTGATTTCTTTTACAGGGCCACATTTGAGCAAGCAACACTTACAGAGATGACTTACCTAATTAGATTCAAAGAGTGATTTGCTATCTCAGCAATAGTTTTTAAATGTATAAATCTAGACAGAGAGGCATTTTGCAAACAGGTGTGAATGACACTGCCTCATCAGGCATTAAATTGGAGCTGCTCCTAAAAAATTGTATCATTTGTGTGCTTAAGTTACCAATATTTTATCACACCAAATATTTCTTGTGGTCTACAGCCAATGATACTGGAGCAAGATCTTTCACCCTTTTAACAGTGGCATGAAAGAGGCTTCTCATGCCTTTTCAGAAAGGTTGATTAAAAAAGGCTCAGGATTACCTCTGAGGAGTGCATCAGCCTTTGAAAGAGGGATACAAACCAGGGAAAAGAGCTAATGCTTGCAGGCAGCATTGTATTTCCAAAGGAAGTTTCAGCATTCAAGAAGGGTTCAAATGATTCTTGCCTTGCACACAGAAAATGTTTAAACACTGAACAGGGACTGAAAAGCATTTGCCCCTGACACACAGACACAGAAAGGAAGTGCTTAGGATTCAGTGGCACTTTTTTTGGAGAGGAAAATAACACAGACTCCCAGAACTGGTTCTGGAACACCTCCAGTGAGGAGAACCCACCACCTCTCTGAGCAATCTGTTCAGTGCTCAGTGGCTGCACAGGAAAGGGTTCTTCCTTGTATTCAGGTGGAAAATCAAGAGAAGTGTTTTGGATCTGCTGAGAAATTGAATCACTAAACAGATGAAGAGCTTCGAGGGAAGGAGATAAGGTTTCAGCCACAAGTAGTGAACACTAAGAGGAAAAAGCACAGAAAATGGATGGTGAAGGCTAAATACTTATCAATTGTTCACAGTTTCCCACTTAAGGTCAGAAAGACCTGTGTTCTGAAAGTCGAACTTTGGTTTTATTTATGTTTTATTAGAAACATGGCACAGAGAGGCAGAGCCTTTGACAAGCATGGGGAACCTCATTTCCCTTTGCAAGGTTAGTTTCTCTGGCTATACACTGCTAGGACCTCTGGCAGGGCCAAGCACTCACTGCTGCTGCTGAGAAAAGTGCACACAGCACAGAAAGCATTCTGCAGAGCTGCTCTGCAACACATACAGGCAAGTCAAGGTTAGCTAGGCAATTCAGGTTTTTCTAGGATTACAGTAAAATGATGAGCAAAAAAGGCATCTCTCTGGATTTGGGTTTCTTCCCATCACA